TTATTATTATTATTATTATTATTATGTTTAGTGAATCCTTTGACTAGCAAAAAGGCCTACCTGTAAGATACACAAAAAAGACTGCCTTCTGTGGGGTTAACGCTATGCCTTTTCTAAGAACAAATGAACAAAAACCACCATCTCCCATCTTCCATACTATGGAAAGACAGATAAAAACTGTACACCACTGCCTTTGTCTTGGCTAGAACATAGGAGTCTTTGGGTTCAGAAAAAAAAAATGTCTGTGTTTTATCTTACCAATGATAAAAATAAAAGATATTTTTTCCAGTGAGAACTCTCAGAGATCCATGGTCTGAGGAATCACTTTCAGGGCCCAAAGGGACATGGAAGTTTATTCTGAGGCCTGACCACATAGCTAAGGTAGAACTTTCCTGGTGACTCTCCTAGTCAGCTTGCTTTGTTTATCTCAGGAGCATCATTTCCTGTGCCTCTCCTTGTGAATATGCAGCAAAAGACTTTAAAAGAAACTGTGGAAAGTAGAGTGAGACCAAGAATGACATCTGCTTTCTAAGCACAGAGCTACAACCCCAGTCCTCTCTGAAGTCTAGTATGTATTGCGTGTTATGCATGCATGTGTTGATTACCATTATGCAGCTGTTCCTAAGCACTTAGAAGTCTCCTTTCCCACACATATCTTCCTGTGTGCAGACCTTTCATTGTTATCTTTTTCTGCCTATTCCATGAATCTCCCTGATGACTAGCTCAATATGTTTTCCAGCTACCTCTTATTTGTAGTGCTAATATAAAAGTGAAATGATCTTTAAAATAATTTCTGCAACAGCTAACTTCATGCCCTATTATAATTCAAAAAGGTAGCAAATGAGGTGTCTCATAGTCCCAAAAGAGAGTTACACTTTCTTGATGAGATCCTCATGTTTGTTCTCTGTGCTATCATTAGATCACAGGAAAACAATGTCACCATTCCTGACATCAGAGAAAGCTAGATTGGGGATGAGAAACGGCAGGTAGGTCTTCATCCATCATCCAGCACAGTCAGAGGGATCGCTCCCTGCTCTGCCCTCCCATGTTTATCCTCCCCGTCCTCATCTCCCCAGTGCTCCTTCCCTTCTGCACCATGAATACTTCATCTTTCCTACACTGCCTACCTACACAGAGGGCTGAGACTGATTCATTACTGTTCCCAACTGCCACCAACCAGCGGTCCTCCGGGGTCTCTCTCTCTCTCTCTCTCTCTCTCTCTCTCTCTCTCTCTCTCTCTCTCTCACACACACACACACACACACACACACTCGCCCCTTAGAAGGTACTAAGTTATTATGGGACTGGAGAGATGCCTCAGAGCTCTACAGCAATTGCTGCCCTTGCAAAGGATCCAAATTCAGTTTCTAGCACCCATATGGCAGTTCCTACCTGTCCTTAATTCCAGTTCTAAGGGATCTGATGCCCTCTTCTGGTTCCATCAGCATGGGGCGTGCATATGATGCATATACATGCATGCAGGCAAAACAGGTTTTTCTGCTCCTGAGATAAACAAAAACCACAGTTTTTGTCTGTCGCTGTTTTTATTTATTTCATAAAATAAAATGAATCTTTAAAAATAAAAAGTCAGCCATTGTGATGAGATGAACATAGGACACAGAAAGATTCTCATGGTTACCCAGGCATCAGCTTTCGTCTAGTGGTGAAACCTGTTCTATCATTTCCTCCATAGAAACAGCCTATGCCTGCTGCTGTAGTTTCCTTTCCTATTGCTGTGATACTAACATGTAAAAATACCCTGACAAAAGCATCTTAAGGGAGAAAGGATTTATTTCATCTCACAGTTCAATCACAGAAGGGAAGTCACATTAGCAGGAGCTTGAGAGAGCTATTCACATTGTATGCATCAGGAAATGGCAGTAATCAATGCATGGGTGCTTCTACTCAGTTTCCCTTTTCGTTTATTCAGTCCAGCATCCCAGTAAGAAAATGGTGCCACTCACACTGTATGGGTCTTCCCACCTCAGTTAATGTAATCAAGACAGTCCCAAGAGGCCAATCTCCCATATGATTCTGGGTTCTGTCAAGCTGACAGTTAATACCTGGAGAGACCTCTGACTTGCCTTGGGAATGGATTGCGAGCCAGAACCGAACTCAAAAGTCACTAGTATTGAACACTTTACTAAAATGCATCCTGTGCTTGATAATGATGCCAAGAGTTGTCTTCACTGCATCAATGGCTACAGACCTTCAGGTGTGCCCCTGTGAGCTAAGAAGCTCACTGATACCATCCCCACCCCCAAGAGATATGGCTCCTTTGTACCACAAGAAAGCAAACAAACAAAAGCATACCTTTTGGCCAAAATAATGACCTTCATTTCATGTGGAAGAAAATGCAGGGTGATGATGGAGGATGAAAACTCCAAAGCACAATAATAGCTTTCTTTTAATGATTTCCTTTGAAATCGCCTACTTCCCATCCTAACTATAATTTGACTAATTGCTTAATAATTCTGTTTAAATGTCATTATCTCTGCAAGTATCAATTCATTAGGCCTGGTTTTTCAGGTTGAAAGACCCCCTTGTTTCCTTGAGTCTCCGCTGTCCCTTCTTCCCAGGTACCTGCTGCCTGAGCCACATTCTATTGATGCAAATGGAATCCCTTCAAAAAGGTGTTGAGCAGATCAAGGTGTCTCTTTGTGTTCTGTAGCCTGAGTAATGTAATCCATGTCCTTGAAACAGTACCTGTGATGGGAAAGATCTAAGACTGTGTCTTTTAAAAGCCAGCTTCCATGCTGTAGCCCTGAAGCTGTGATCACAGCCACCCTAGGCCACTCCCACAGCAAGAGGCATGCTGCACTTGGCATAGTGAGAGGCTGTATGAGAAACTGAAGCATAGACTTGGGAGCCCACAATTTCCTAGGGAAAAAAAAAAAACAAAACTAAAACCTTGCTCAAAGCAGTGATCTTAGGACATCACAGTGGACCACAGACCCTGTGTGAGGGAGGAAGCTACACTGCTTAAAGCTGAACAAGACAGCTATGTCCTTTCAGGGACAAACTTGTGTCTCACCTGTTCTGGCAAAAAGGAAAGAGCTAGACTACTAAACATATTCTAGCATGTTCTCCATTATCCTTCCCTTCTACAGTCCACCAGCTGTAAATTTACAATGACTTTTCATTTCACATGAAGGATGGCTCTAGTGTCCAACTTTCAAAAGTCAAGTCTCTTTGCCCAAATGCATGAGCCATTTACCAAATAACAGAAAATGAGCCAGCACAGGAATTCCATGCTTTCTTGTCACTTTGAAAAAGAACAGTTAGAAAACAGGCCTTGGTCTTCTTCCCTGAAAATGTTTTTAGATCGGTGATATATAGAATAACAATAAGAAAAAACATAAAGAAAAGGATCACGTGGAAAGCTAGGGGGTTGAACATCTATAAAGCCAGAATCACTGAAGAGGGAGGAACTGCATATACTTGGGACACAGGGAGCTCATTACTGGGAGATCCATGCTATTTCCATGGGTGTTTTGTGAGATCTAGTTTTGAAGGCATGTACATGCACAAGTTTACCATTGGGAGATGGAGAGAGTGGAACTCACTTAAAAAGTAAAGAACTAATTGTACACTGCCCAACTAACACTTGTTCTGTGGGTTATGGTCTATTTCTGCTTACCCCAGAGAAATAGAGAATAACAAACCAAAGAAATGATTCCACCCCAGTTCAGCCTGATGAGCCAGTTTGTTTGACTAGAGTTACATGGCATGTCAATGTACCAACAGTTACAAAACCTATTAATCTTCTCTCCCTCCCCTAAACAGTGTATCCTTCAAGGGCCTGGTGATTCCTCCCTTCCTCCCACGAGGGAATAGTACTGGGAATAGTACTGGGCCCAATCTTTTTTAAGGGTGATCACGGCTGTTCTTATTTCATCATAGCCATGCCATGCTCAGAGCACAAAGTTTCACAACATGACCACAGGGGATAGTGAGAGGAGGCACACTCCATCAAGGTCATCCAAGGGCATTTTGCTTGAAAGTTTCCTTTAAGCTAAAATGTCACCTCCCTCTCAGAGTCCCATTCTTTCTCTTTGGACCACAAGACCCTGCCAAGTGAGGTGAATGCTGATTAGATGGCTCTGAGAAAGAACGGAGACAGAAGGCTTCCCTCCTGTATGCCTGGACCAGCAAGAGGTACTCACTGCCACTCTGGTCTCCACATGCACCTTTCGGCAGTTCTCTGAGAGCCACAGGATTCAAGCAACAGAGAACATGCAGAATGGCATCTCATCTAACCAGAGTACAAAACCTGAGGATGTAAATAGAGCTTGAATTATTGGGTGTGAAACAGGCTTTCAGGCTAATTGATCTATGTGTATACAATTGATTTTTATTTATTATTCTTCAAATCACACTATGATTTACTTTGGGATAATCTAGAATTTGAAACGATGCCCTCAAAGAACTGTAATGACACACAGCTATTTCTCACCCCATGCCTTTTTTACTTTGTCCTCTCCTTGGTTCTTTTTCTTACTAAATAACTAAATTATCTGAGTCTTTGGCTTCCTATGCATTTTTATTCCTCTGGTCTCAGCTGCATTGCCAAAAGTAGCCAAAGATACAGTTAACAATGACATCATTGTTTTGAATACTTGGAGAATTCTGGGTACTGACTTACTTGGACTGTCCTGAGTGCTGCTTTATGTGTGACACTCAACAGGCATCCTCACCTCATGAGGTAAGTGCTACTGTTAGATGCATTTGCAGATAAGAAAATGAAAAAACAAAAAGATAAAAACAATTGCCCAGCGTCAAACAGCTAGCAAGAGTCAGGGCCAGGGAATGACCCCAGCATCCGGGTTCTCAGGACTGAGCTTTTGCTCATTACAAACCTCTCCCCCACAATATGTGTCCCTGCATAGTGTGAATGGAATTATGAACAGGAGTGTTGCTTTTGGTCTCTAAGAAGATAGCAGTGAGCTCTTAACTTATTTTACCTTTAACTATTCTGTTTTTCCCTCCCACACTCTCAGATGATGGAAATGCTTAAGGCAGACTAAGGTAGTGTGAGACCACACCATGTAAGTGTGAGCATGGCTCTTTGTGGGTACCGTATGTTTTATGCGCTTCTGCCTTGTGTTCCCGCATGTTTGCTCCGCTGTTCTCCGATTCCCGCTTCCAGCGCTTGGCACTTGGGTCGCATGAACTGTTTTTTAAGCCATAGATCCTGTGTCTTTGTTCCTGATTTTATACTTGAGTTTTACCCACACACAAAGTCCAGCACAGGGCAAGAAACAGAGAACACACAACTGTCTGCCTGGTATCTTCCCGGCGAGCTAGGAGTCCTGGGAATACAATGGATTGCTATTATCTGGCAATAAGTTGGGGATTGTAAGCTTCAAGAATGCTAGGCATTTACCCATGCCTAACTGCAATAGACCACTCCAAGGTGGAGACCTGCAAAGGCTGCTCTACACAGGCCATGACCTTCACCAACTCCCAGACCTGTTCGGGGCAGGGGTCTTAAATGGACTGCTGCTCTGTCCATAGGAGTCCATCACACCGGGTAACGGGATATGGAGAGGGGTAGGAATATTTTCATTTATTTATTTTCTCTCTGCACATAAGTATGTGATAAACAAGCACACATATGTGGAGAATAAAACATATTATAAAAGAGAAAGGATAATGGCCTTAAGTTAGACATGAGTAAAGCAGGCCTTCACTGTACACACACACATATACTCACTACTCCTCTTGGTGTCCCTTGATCCTACACAAACTATATTTGCACTCTAAGTAAATTTAATATAGGGCAAGTTACATTTCTAGAATAAGAAAATTGATGAGGGGAGATAGTTGTATCTAACAAGAGTATATCTGGAAATATCAAAATACAGCTCTGGGGCTGGAGATATAGTCCTGTGGTAAAGCGCCTGCCTGGCTTGAATGAGGCCCCAGGTTCAATCCCCAGCACCCACATAAAATAAATACAGTCCTGCCTTGCCGTTTGTTCCCTGCCACATACCTGCACACTTGCTGTGTGCACATACCTGACGGTAGTTTGGAGTCTAAAACTGCCTCATGTTCTCAATTTCACTTAAATGTTCAGTGTGTGTTGAACTTATTGAGTTGTATTTTCTGAAATGATAAGAATTTAAAATTGAAAATGCTCTTATGACATCTGACCAAACAGTGTTTGAGACTCAAACTCTGCAACGTTGAGAACTCAACCCATCGTTTAGACATGCAGAAAGCCAAAACTTATTAGGGATGGATCTTTTGCTCCGACCCCTTAACTGATTGGGACCTCACAAGAGAAAGTAGTTTGTCCTGGATAGATTGGAGGCACATTAAAACCTCATTCTTCCCTTTCCACCAAAGCATCCCATCAGTACAGAGTTAGAAATCCTTTCTCTCTGGACAGAATAATATACAGAGCTCCAGAGCAACTTTGTAAAAATAGAACTAAATGGGTCTGCGTCCCCAGAAAGGGTTCCAGGTCCTTTCATGGCTCTGCCACTGGAGACATGGGCAAACTGAGGTAATGTGGCTCTCTGAATCATGGAGTCCTTGTTTGTAAATTCAGAACAGCTGACTAAAAGAAGTACATGTGACAAATTTGCTCATTAATTGCTTAATTAACACAAACTTGCTCATTGGGCTGGTTTGGGGGAAGCTTCCACCTGCATTTTCCACAGTATGTTACAGGGAAAGTTGGTTAGGCTGTGCAGGTAGGGACAGCCTTGAAAAACAAGAGCTGTATCTGTTGTTAACTGAAGAAAAACAAGGCCAAGGAGGAAAAGTGCAAGTGAGACATGATCTTAACAAACTCACATGGACATGCATGTTTCAGGTTTAGCCATCTGATTTCTGAAATCTGGAAGCATTTTATGAAATGTACAGATCAACTGGTGTCAATCTCCCAAGATACTGCTCACTAACTGAGCTCTGGAACCCAGTAGGTGAAGGTCACAGCCTCTCTTTTCCAGTATGTTGTTAAATTAAGAAGGCCAGGAACTCTGCAATACAGAATAACCTAAAAGCCAAAAGGGCAACAATAGAAGCATACATGTGTCAGTGTTCACCTCAGTTCTTAGCTACATCCCTTCATGTGTACAATTATGAAAATGTAAATATTGAGTAAATATGCAATGTCCTTTTCATAGGTTTCTTTTCCATAGCAAATACATGGACCTTTTGGTGAACCATTTTTAGGGGCAAAGAATCATCACTGAATTTAACAGTTTGGCCCATTTTAGTTTTAAATGTAACTTTTCCCAAAATAGTTTGCAGGGACCCTCCATGAATCTGATGGTGATTAAAAGCTGACTGGGAGGAGAGAACCAGATATGGAATGTCGCAGAGTTAATTTGGTGTTGACATCTTAGGTTCAGAAGCCACTGGGTAAAATACAGAAAAGTAAAAACACTGTGACTTAGAGAAGTATTGACAGGATAAAATTTGAGCTCCAAATTTTGGTCAAGAAGAGGCTTGGAAGTGATCCATCTGGCAGGGAAGTGTGGAGGGATTCTTAAAGCTACATCTCATGGCATTTTGCTTAAGACTGACAAATACAACCTGTTATGTGGAGACTGCAGCAACTAGAAATTGAAGAAATAATCTACCAGCCTCTTGTTAGGGAGCATCAATGTCTTGGTGTTACTAGTCTTCCACTTAGGAGAGCTATACCACTTTCGGAAAAGGAAAACAGCATCTTCAGGAAGCCACAGGGCCAGTCATCCCATTAAGGATGCTGAACAGATCAGATGTCAGCTCCTTGCCCAATACTTCTTTGACTTTCAGAGAGCTCCCCCTGAACTAATCAGCCAGTAAAGAGTTAGGAAGGAGTAGGGGCTATTTTTTATTCATTTTTTAAAGGTTTGTTCCAAATCCATCCTAAGCAAGTGAGGTCTAAGAAAATCGCTGTCCTATTGAGACCTCAAGTGGTGAAATTGGGAACTGCGGGTGAAGAAAGGGAAAGAAAAGGAATGGGAGGAAGAAAGGGAGAAAGGGAGGGAAGATGAGCTCCTGTAACATCCTACCGCTGACCCACAGCCTCAGCCTGAAACTCCTCCTAGATGGAAGAAAGGAGGCACTGCTCCTGAGACCTCTGAATATCACCTTTCACCACGTGAATACGTCCAGCCATCGTTTCAGAAATCACAGAGAACTCTGCCTACCTTAAGTATGTACAGTTACTCCAGAACAGTTCTGGGACCTACTGAGAAGGCTTTAGATTCTCCAGTCCTTTGTTTCTTTTTCCTAGGGAGGCCTGAAACCAAACTGGACCTCCAAGAGTCACAAGAGACAACCCACAGAACCTTGGGGTCAACCCACTCACACTTGTCCACCTAGAGTCCTGCAGGCTGGCCTGATGCCTGGGGCAATGGCCTTGCAGTGCAGTCCCTGTCCTTGCCCTTCCACACAGACAGGAAGCAAACCTGCCACCACTACTGCCTCCAGCGCTGATTCTGGGGGCTTCCTGGAAAGTACATTATGCCTGACAGACAGGAGTCCAGATTGTTTTAATTGTTCTCCAAACACAGCCCCCAGATAAGCAACAGCATCATCTAGAAGTTAGGTCGAAATGTACATTATTAAGCTCCAGACCTAGGAATTAAACATGCTGGCAGTCTGTCCTAGGTACTGTCCAAGTGACCGTGTGAGGCCACTGCCACACACTGATTTGCAAATGTCCAAGACAGAAGAGAGCAACTCAGTTTACTTCAAACGTGGTTTCTGGCACCGCCTTCACAGAGATGCAGTAGAACTCCATTCTTAACTAAGTGTCTGCTGTGATTCTGTGAGAGGAGCCCACAGTCTCCACTTAGACAAACTTTGCTCTGGAGAAAGGAAGCCTTCTCTGCAGTTCTTTAGCATTCTCTCTGAAGATGGAAATAAACATTCTAACTTCTTACCAGGCCTGGAAGAGTCTGAAGTACCTCAGGTTCTCCGGGACTGTAGATGGGATCCTATTGCCCTTTGGAAAAATTAGTCCTTCCTTGCTGCCACCAGAGGGGAATCACAGTGAAGTAGGCTTTGGAGGTCAGTGGGGGAGGGGAGATGTGCCCTGCTGGGAGACCAGCAAGACAAGGATGCTGGTGCGTGGGGATTTCTGGACAGAGCCGGCTCTTGTGTCTGAATCTCTAGACTGATACTGAGAATCATGGCAGGCTAGAAGTCTCACCCAGGCACGAGTACCTCTTTCTCTCCCCACACCTACAGGCACTCTCCAGCAGGGCCCAAGAGGAAAGTTTATTGTAATGCCACTAAAAAAAAATGTTTTTAATTAGTTTTTAGACTTTAAAGTTATAGGCTGGGATGTAGCTCAGTTGATAGAGAGCTTGACCAGCATGCATGAAGCTGCGGGTTCAGTCCGTAGCACAGGATAATGTTGTGCCCACATTGTAACCCCCAGAGAGACTACCAAGGACAAGCATACCAGAATGCAAAAGCAAGGTTTACTTCTGCTGCAAGTCATGACAGGGAATTCATCTCAAGCCATCTCAAGTGAGGCAGGGAAGAGTTACTCTTTCTTGGGGAAGTTAGTTTTTATAGGCAAAACCCATAAAATTTCTTAGAGGGGAGGGGTTTACTACGGGTCCATCCTTGATTGGTCCAGTTTTTCCTGGGCCTGGACTTTATCTTATTCTAGCTTATCTGTTTGCCCTGTCAGAAGTTTTACAACTCATCTCCGGGATCTGGTCATGTTATCTCTGGAGAGGGGCATCTTGTGGTTAATTGGTTACCATCAGACATCCTAACTTTGTTCTTTTGAAAACACCTGACTTCACCCTCTCCAGGAAGGGGGAACTGACTCATTTTTAAGATATCTCTTTCCTCAGCTCTTTTGGGTTTCTGGGGAAACTGTGTCTGGGTCTTTTATCTCCAGTGCTGAGATTAAAGGCATGTGCCACCATATTCCCATCCCATTTGGTCTTGAGACAGGATCTCTATAGCCCAAACTGGCCTGTGTTATGCCCAGATCGTGTCCCCAAAGCTGCCACTGGAGACTTCAGGTACAGAATGCATAAGCAAGGTATATTCTAAGTTTACAAGCCTTGGCAGGGAGGCTCAT